TGGCACATGGTCATCTAAAAAATTCTGGGATTATGTTCGCCCATTGCTGCAGTGTTAGGTCCTGCTGTGTTGTTTCTTCTCTCTTGTTGCTGCAGACCCAGAGAAGCCCTTTGCCCAAGTTTGAGTTCTGTTGTGTGGGCATAGTTACATGGTTTTGAGCAGTCAGATATGCCATTCGGACCAGTTGGGGTGGATGCTTTGGAATGGAGGGGATAGAGAGGCATGGTCTGGGATGGGGTCCTTGAACTGACATCCCAAGTTACTATGGATGTGCTCCCTGACATTCTGGTGGTTCATTGGGGAGGCAACGACTTGGCCCAAAGGTCGGGCAAGTCACTGGTCCTCCAGGTTATAGCGGACCTCAGAGTGTTTGTGTCATGGTGTCCCAAGACGTGTGTGATATGGTCAGCAATTATTCAATGTTTGGTGTGGAAGGCCACATGTGACCCCAGGAGGATTGATCGGGCCTGGAAGGGCATAAACAGACAGTTTAGCAGAGCTGTATGGAGAGGCCTGAGGTCAGTTGTCATACATCCTCACTTTAAAGTTTCCCATCCAGAGTTATATAGAGAAGATGGTGTGCACCTGTCAGACCAGGGCCTGGACATTTTCCTAGAGGATCTGCAAGGGGGTCTTAGGGCTGAAATGTTTCAGCTTGTTGGGGGCATGGGACATACTAAGTAGTCCCTATGCTGTGGTGGGTAGTGCCAAAGGAAAAGGGTAGACCAGTTCCTAGGAAGGCACCTAGAGGATTCTAAGCACCTCTCCTCTCAGAAGGGCAGCAGCTGAGGTTTAGTTGAGAGGAAAGGAAACTGGGGACCCCAGGGGATGCTGAGCAGCTAGAGTTTGGAGACCCGGATGGGGCAAACTTGGGGTACCACAGCTATGGGATATATGGAAACCTGCTGTATGGTAAGACAGCATGCTTTCATTATAGGAAGTTGATTGGTGGGCTGGGCTGGAAGGTCAAGGTTGACTCTGGTTACAGACCAGTTCAGGCACTACGGTAGGCCCCCTTGTAAAAGGAAAAGTTTGGGTTATAAATGAAATAATAAAGTTGTGGCCCTAGTTATCCCATATGCCTGTGTTTGTCTTGTTATTCCAGACTGGGCAGGCAACAGGTCATCTAGCAGGGCAACCAGAATGGTCTCAGTGCCTTAATGCAGCCTGAAGCCTGATTGAGTGGATCCAGATTATCAATATCCTCCAAGAAGACCTGAGCTGATTGGTCACCAACGTCTCAATCACTTTTTTTTTTTTGGACTTATATACCGCCCCATAGCGCTACAAGCACTCTCCGGGCGGTTTACAATTTTTAATTATACAGGCTACACATTGCCCCCCCAGCAAGCTGGGTACTCATTTTACTGACCTCGGAAGGATGGAAGGCTGAGTCAATCTTGAGCCGGCTACCTGGGATTTGAACCCCAGGTCGTGAGCACAGTTTTAGCTGCAGTACAGCGTTTTAACCACTGCGCCACGAGGCTCACTTTCCCCAATAAACAGTATATTAGCAACCAAACAATAGTTGTTCAGGTTGTTGGTTGACATGTTGGCTTTTTTCAGAATGGGCCTGTTAACATGGCAGAAAAATATGGATTTGTCTGTCTGAATTATGGGAAAATGACTAAGCAAAGGAAGAAACATTGATGCAATGCTCAATTTGCTGATTAAGTGTTACATCATACACAGGTATATAGGCAGGCAGTTAACAAACCTATGTTGTTTGGATATATTCATGGAGAAGCAGTGTGTCACTTTGTCAGTTAGCATTTTGGATTACTTGACTGGACTGGACTGTAATTACCATTTCTATACTGCCAATTCTGAAGAGGTGTGTCTGTGTGCTTGTGTGCTTGTGTGCTTGTGTGCTTGTGTGTGTGTGTGTGTGTGTGGGTGTGTGTGTGTAGTATTTACATAAGCTTTGTATAACTTGTTGTGGGTTTGCACATGACTGACAAGGTGCCCAGCCCCATCTTTGCAACCAAGATGAGTCTCAACATATTATCAGTTAGCCACGAATAGCTACCACAAATTACAAAAAACTTACACAAAACCAATAGGATTCTGGCAGTTGAACAATTTTCAAAATTCTTTCTAAATGATAATGTACAGCTGCATTGCAGGAAAATATATTCATTCATTCATTTTATATATTGCCCATCTGGCTACCAGGGGCACTCTGTGCAGTTCACAGCATAATAAAACAACAGACTACACTTAAAAAAAAAAACACTGGACATACACCAAACCCCAAAAAGAAACATATCAATCTGCATGCACAAAAAGAAACATAGAATTAACTAAAAATACTTTAAAAGGGCAAGGTGGCAGATCAGGTAACATGAGAGCTGAAAAAACCACCATGCTATGATGATGTAACTTCCAAGAAAGCCTGTCTAAGCAGCCATGTTTTCAGAGAATATTTCAAAATTCCAAGTGTAGGAGCCAGACAAATTTCAGGCAGGACATTATTTCAGGGATTGGCGGTTACCACTGAGAAGGCCAGGTTCTGTTTCTGGGCCTCACTTGAGGTCAATGATCTCTGCTTGGCCTGGGAAGATTGAATGGGTCAGGCAGATCTCACTGGAAGAAGGCATTCTGCCAGGTATCGAAACCCCAAACTATTTGGAGCCTTGTATGTTAGCATCGCCAGGGTAGGGGAGATATGATGGTATTTCTTTACTCTGTTCAATAATCTGGCCACCATATTCACATCTTTCTCTCAATGTATTCACACAAAATTCACTAGTCTGCAATTCTGTTGGGAAGGGGTGCTGGCAGAGAATGTGCCGTCCCCTGGCAAAGAGAGTGTTACCATGGAGGAGGGTGTAGCATGAAGTGGGGAATGGTAAGGGGGAAAACAAAGCGTGGGAACAAATGCGAGAGTGCAGAAAGGCAGGAAGTTCAAAGTAAATTTGGTAGAGGAGGGAAAGGATGTGATAGGCAGACAGCAAGAACTGTCCGTTTGGCAGGAGGAAATAAATGACAGCGGCGAATGCCACTTTGGGGTAGAAAGAGAGTTATGGAAGAGAAAGAGAGAGCTGGAGAAGTTACGCAAGTATGAGAGGGTAAAAACACAAGAATTACTGAGAGATTTTCCCCACCTGCGAGTGGGAGGTCTGCTTCCTGATCCCGTTCCTAAGGGGAAGGAAGAGTTACACATAGAACAGCTGGAGTGGTCGGTAGTAGTGTTCCCCAGGAACCAAGGTAGGGGATGGCGCATGATCCGACCCGACGGGCGGCATAACACCCCTCCTTTGGAAGGAGACTGGGCAAGGCACCCATGCTGCAGAACCATTTGCGTGCTGCGGAGTGCCCCTCTACAGAGTCCAACCGACAAGGAGAGGTTTGGTCCTGCACCCCTATGAGTTCCGCTGGGGAGAAGATCAATTCGGAGATGGACAGTTTTGGTTTGTTGCCCGAGTTGAGTTTCTTGGACCCTTTTTCTAATAATGTTGAACCGTTAATTGTTAATAAACCTGAAAGTGAAGAAGAAGACTCCTCTCCTTCTTCCCGACCTGGATGAGGAACCGCCACCCCCCAAAAGTGAACCCATTTACATCTGTCAACTCTGAAAAATCCGAATTTCAGGATATATAAAGTCAGTAGAGAAAAAAAATCTTCCATACGAAAGAGAAGCTTTGCTAATTTTATTAAGAATCAAAGAAAATGGAACATATCTCAAAGCACAAGGGGGTGAAAATAGAAAACTTACTTTACAGAAACAGATGGCTTTCTCTAAATTCACCTTGAAAATATTTTTCCCATCTGTATCTCTCTCTGATATTTCATTTCTTTCTTACCTAGGTAGGGTAATTATAGAACTTCGTTCCCTAACATACAGAAGAGGGTCATTTCAACATTTTATGTAGACTGTCACAGTTTGTTCTCCCTGATATCTTTGTTAAAAATTACTTCTGCAGAATATTCTTTGCTTCCTTCCACTGCATGGTTTCCAACTAGTATGCTTCAGTTATTCGTTGCAGATTTTGTCCCCCAGCAGTGCCATTTGATATCAAGCTGCATTAGTATGAATATTGCTGAACTCTGCACTTTAAGTTTCTTATTCATTATTTTCTTATTTAAGATGAGAATAAGATGTGTTACTGCTAAGGAATCACCAGACAAACTGCTATTGGCATAATTACACTGGCATAAACTAGATCTGAGTTCTGGAAACAATTAATTGAAATTAATTGAAGACTTCCTGTTCTCCTTCCCCATTTTAGGTTTCAAGTCTTCATAGGGCTTCCCATTGTTCAGGATAAGTTTTTGGCAGCCTTGGATTGTGTGAGTGTGTGTGTGAGTGAGAACTTGTAATAGTAAAAATTGCCACCAGATTGCCAGTGCTAGAATCAGGACCATCAGTGGAGATACAGAGCCAATATTTGACCATTACAGCCCTCTACCCATTCCAAGGCTTCCAAAGGCTTTCCCAGGGTAAAAGGATGGTAGAAGGAGCATGTATCTGTTTTTACAAGAGTTATTTGCATACTGGTCCCGCTCTAGCTTTGTCCTCTCCACTCACTGAGTTCCCACAGAACATATGAAAACAAGTTGCAACTGCACAATAACTTAGAAGGTTTTCTTAATATGAAATTTCCATCATGTGCAGGTGAATGTAGTCACAGCTCCTTTTCAGTCTTTCTCTAGCAAAATTGGAAGCTTAGGAGAGGAGGGGTAGTGCTGGAATACATGCCCACAAATTCTTCAACATTCTTACAGTAAATTACAGCTTGTGATAAATTCCATAAATGATTTTTGTCTGCTCTGAATCTCTTGTTAAACTAGTTTCATAAAACAAATCTGAGATCTAGTATAACAAGAAAAGAACAAAAATGCTCCATATCCACTTTCTTCATATCATAGGTACTTTTCTTTTGCAGCTATCTCAAAACAAAACCTAGTAGTCAAACCTAAACATAGTCCACCCAGTTCTAGTGAAATGTGGTATATTTGAAATGGATAAAATGGTGCTATTTGATACAGCCACTTACCCAAACATTTCCATCTTGGTGATATGGCTTCCAGTTTCTCCCTGTATCACTGTATAGCATCCGGTACTGTGTTACCCAGTCAGAGCTGCTGTATCTGCCTTGAGTAGCAATGCAGCTGATCTGTTTCCTGCTGCCAAAATCCATTTGCAGCCATTGATAATGGTCACTGACTGATGGACACCAACCTCCAGCCCCTACAGAGTCAGAAAGAAAGATAAACATTCACCACATGGAAAATCTAATACAGCTTTATTGGACATTAACTCCTGTTAAGACTTTGCCATCCTAATCATATGTTTTATTACCAATGAGCTCCTTTCTCTCCAATTACATGTTGTGAGGCATGAGTGGGGGCAGAATCATTTCATTACATGAAAAAGAAGAGAGGCATAAATGTAAGGAGTGTTATTGTAGAAATAATCTTCCCTTTCTATAGGTTCTCTGAAGAGGATGTTAGCATGTCTATGCTACTGTCTTTCCTAGGGTAACTCTGGGAAAGAAGGGTGATGGCAGCCAAATGGAATCAGTAGCCAACAAATAGTGTAGGATTGTAATTTCATTTATTTAAGAAATATTTAAACTAATTAGACAAAACAACTCCTGGGACAGGTGACTGCTGCAAGTCTGTGACAGTTTGGAGATTTGTTATGTTTCTTCATTAAAACTTCTATATCAGATTAGAATTGTAGAATCATTAACTCATAGAATAATGAAGTTGGAAGGAGTCAATAGGACAATTGAGTCCCTGCTCAGTGCAAGAATCCAAATCAATGTATATCTGGCATATGTCTATTTAGCTTTCTCTTGAATGCTTCCGGTGTTGGAGGATTCACCACCATCAGAGGTAACTGGTTCCATTGACATTATGCTCTAACAGCTAGGAACCTTTCCTGATATTCAATCAAAATCTGGCTTCCTGTAACCTGAATCCATTATTAAGTAGAAGGGAGAGAACAGCAACTACATCTAAACTCTTCATGTGTGTGTTAAGTCTTGCTCAGTCAGAACAATTTATAACAACCCTAATAAGGAAGTGAGATATTTAAAGGGTGAGGCAGACCCAGGGAGCTCACGACCAATGAGGGAGAAACAGGAGTTTGATGAGGGAGAAACAGGAAGAGAAGGTAGGAAGGAAAGATCTACTGGAGGAAGGGACAAAAGAAAGTATGTGTGGGGGGGGACCAAGGAGACAAAGGCACAGAGGTGAGTGTTTTCAGATTAATACTAGGGAGGGACTTGGAGTAACCCCTTGGAATTCCCCATTCATAAGCACAGTGTGCTCAGCTTAACAGCAAGGGCTGTATGTTCAGTTTAACAGGAAGAGTGTGTCCTTAACAGCAAGGGCATTGTGCAGGATTAGGGATACATAAGCCCTTATTCTCAAACAAACAACAGAGCCAAAAGCAACTTTGAAAACATCAGATCAGGCTTTGAAGTTCTGGGAAAGAAACATAAGGAATTTAGGGCCCAGATAGTTTTCTCATCTGTCCTACCAGTACTCGGAAGAAGAATATAAAGGCAAAGGGAAATACTCCAGGTGAATGACTGGTTAAGAAGGTATTGTCAACATGGGGGATTTCATTTTGGAGATTACAGGCTAAGCTTTCTCGATGATGGACTGCTAGCAAGAGATGGCTTGAACTTCACAAGGACTGGAAAGAACATGTTTGGCTGCAGCATGAAAAACTTCATCAGGAGGGCTTTAAACTGAACTGGAAGCGGGAGGGAGATGCAACCATAGAAGTAAAGACAGATAAAAACTTACACACAATAAGAGGAATGGACTGAAAGTCAATAATAACTTTAACATTCTAATCATATTAATAAATATGTGCAAAGCAAGCACCATATCACTCAATCTCCTGTGTCTATACATGAATCCACAAGTATGGGAAAAAAACAAGAAGAACTGGAAATCTTAGGTCAGGAGGGTAAATATGGTCTGATAGGAATAACTGAAACTTGGTGGGATTACTTCCATATTTGGAATACAACCTGAAGAATATAATTTGTTCAAAAATAACAGAAAGAATAGAAAGGGAGGTGGAGTTACAGCATATGCGAAAAATACACGTTCCTGCACAGAAATACAGGAAGAGGAGGAGATTCCCTGTCCCATTGAGAGCATCAGAATTAATGTCATTGGGGCAAAAAACAAAAGGAGCATGGTAGTTGGATTCTACTACCGACTGAGCAATCAAGGAGAGGACGTGAAGAAACTTTTGAAAAAGAAATTGCAAGCATTTCAAAGAGACATTATGTGATTAGAAATTTCAGTTATGCTGATATCTGTTAAAAGTCAACTTCTGCAAAGTATGTCCCTTCCAAGAAATTCCTGGCTTGTGTGGCTGGTCATTTTTTTCTTACAAAAATGGAGAAAGAAACTAGAGAACTAGTGACCCTTGACTCAATTCTAACTAATAGAAACAATTTGGTGGAGGAAGAAGCAATAAAGTGAACATAGTCACTCTGGGTGAGAGTGACCATATTCTACTAGAGTTCTTGATTTCAAAGGAAACCAAAGCAGAGTGTAGCCACATATGCATGCTGGATTTTAAAAAAGCAAATTTTAGCAAACTGAGGACAATGATAAATAAGGTCTCATGGCACAAGATCCTGACAAGAAAAGGAGTGTAAGAAGGGTGGGAGTTTCTAAAATGCACAACTACAAACAATCCTAAGAAGAAGAAAGTGGGAGACAGCAGAAAAGGCCAGCGTGGCTTCACAAAAAGCTCAGAAGACTTGAAAACAAGACAAAAAAAAAAAAAAGACACATATAGGAAGTGGAAGCAAGGCCAGGCCCCAAAGGAAGAGTATAGACAAGTAGCAAGACATTGCAGGGATGGCATTAGAAAAGCAATAGCTGAGAATGAACTGAGGCTAGCTAGAGAAACTAAAAGCAACCAAAAAAAGAGAGTATTGTTTAGGTACGTGTGTAGTAAAAGACAAAGAAAAGAAACAGTGGCTCAGCTACTCAATGGAAAAATGATAACAGAAGACAAAAAAGGCAGGGGTGCTCAATTCCTATTTTAGCTCAGTCTTTTCCCAAAGGACAATGACTTTCCAGACAAATGTGAATTTCAGGTGTGGATGGGTGGATCTGCTACCCCAAGCTCTCCTTAGGATTAGAATTCTGTCATGGGGAAAGAGCAAACTGAGCCCCTGTCATGTGTGACCGGCCATATCCATTTGGAAATCTCCCCACCAGTCAAGCAATGACCAAAATATCTCCCAGAGAACTAAGGGAGTACTTACCAAGCATATCTAGCAATGTTCAGGAAAATAAACAATTCCTGGTAGACAAAGAAGTGCAGTCCTTAAAAGAGCTACTGCACCCTTTTCAATCACGAGACTATGTGTTTTTGAAGTCATGTGCCATTGGCCCTTTTGAACCCTGTTGGTGTTCCTAGTGTTGCTCACCACTCCGTCATCATTGAAGATGGAAGGTATCACCCCTTGGATACATTAACAATGAGCGGAAAGAAATTGTTGCACTGACACACTCCACCTGCATGTCACTACCTCTCAGGCAGAGGAACTGAGAATGGACAGTACAAGGCATAAACAGTTTGAAACTATTCTTTTGGCAACAAGGAACTAAGGACACTAAGGTATAAACTGTAGGGGGAGAGGGGCGGAGCTATAGCAGTGAGAACAGAGGGAAACCCAGGCTCTGGGGAAAACCTCTGTAATCTCCAGTTTGCAGACCCCCCAGAAATGAAAAGGGGGCAAAGCATTGCAGGAGAGCAAAGCCTTGATGCACAGGGGGGCCGAGGGACCCCAAATTTTAGACAGCAACCTGATTTTTCATGAGTCTCCTTCCTCAAGCACAAGAACTGTAAGATGCCATGATGGCAAGGCAGCTGCAAAATTCACCACGGAGGGGTGCTGATATAGATATGATCTCTGAGACTTCTGGACTGTGAGTAACTGATCTTTGAGCTTTTATAAGCAGTGCAGATTGATCTTGCTTTGACTATACTGACTGTGTTTGTGTTTGAAGTCCGGTGTGCTTGTTTAACAAGCAGCCGGCCACAGAAGAAAGCTGAGACCAGCCAGAGAGCAGCGGAGAAGCTTTGTTTGGCAATGAACCATAAGTCAATTAAGTAATAAAACAATAAAAGGGTACTTAAAAGTAAGACAGCTGTGAAGCACTGGACCCCCTAAAGCAGTGTTCCCCAACTTTGGGCCTCCAGATGTTCTTGGACTGCAACTCCCAGAAGCCTTCACCACCACCTCTGCTGGCTAGGATTTCTGGGAGTTGAAGTCCAAGAACATATGGAGGCCCAAGGTTGGGGACCACTGCCCTAAAAGGCTGCTGGTCATTCGGCCAGAGAGCTCGACAGGCACTTATCTGCCACCTTAGCGCTGGGGCAAGTCCCAAGACTTCAGTAGTGCATAGCATAAGCCCTTTGAACAAGTCGACCTTAAAAGAACACTTTACACTTACTCAGTACTTTGCAAGTACAGCAGTGGACAGGGAACAAATGGGGTAAAAATGAAAATCCTGGGGGTAATGAGGATGCGACCCTAACCCCCTTCCCCCTCCTCCTCCTCCTCCTCTTTGCCTGGAGGTGGGTCCCGGGCTGCCTGATTGCCCTCTTCTCACCCCCTTCTCCGTTCTGGCTGCAGCCAAGCGGATGGAGGCTGGCGATGGGTCCCGGTTGTTGGCATACGGCAGCTGAGACAGTGGCAGAGCCAGCCATGGCAGAGGGTGAGGCCAGGACAAGTGGTGGAGAAAGGGAATGGCCCCTGTGGGGCCAAGGACTGAGCATGGCCCCACCAGGTGGCAGCCTGGGTGCAGGTGGCAAGGCTTTGGCGGCAGCACTCAACTGACTGCATGTGACCTGAGAACCTTCCTTTCAAATCAAGGGGGTAATGTCAGCGTATATAAAATTTTAAGGGGGTAAAAGGTAAAAAAAGTTCCTTGACCCCTGAAGTACAGGCACATGGGCTTTGTGATTCTTAGAACTCACTGAAGCTCAGTTAGGTAGGACTCTTAAATGATAGCTAGTTTGTGGCCCTCTCCACTTCCTGAATTTAGCCAGACCCTGCTGTTCAAGAGACTAGTCCTTTGGTAGAATTTTTAATAATTAATTTATATTAGAAAAATAGAGTTTCATTAGAAATCAGTTTATATTGCATAAGCATTAGCATCAAGAAACATATTCAAAGATTTTTACAGTTAAATAAT